CTCTACCACCTCGTACGTCTCTCTCTACCACCTCGTACGTCTCTCTCTACCACCTCGTACGTCTCACTCTACCACCTCGTACGTCTCTCTCTACCACCCCGTACGTCTCTCTCTACCACTTCGTACGTCTCTCTCTACCACCTCGTACGTCTCTCTACCACCTCGTACGTCTCTCTACCACCCCGTACGTCTCTCTCTACCACTTCGTACGTCTCTCTCTACCACCCCGTACGTTTCTCTCTTTACCACCTTGTACGTCTCTCTCTACCACCTCGTACGTCTCTCTCTACCATCTCGTACGTCTCTACGTCAGGGTGTACGTCAGGAGCGACGGGTCGCTCGTCTTCAGCGACGTCTGGCAGACAGACGAAGGAGAGTACGTCTGTCACGCCGTCAACGCCGCCGGACGTCGCAGCTCCCCGCCTGCTATTATCGACGTTCTCGGTACGTCGCTTAGCTGATTCTTTTACATTTATTTTATTTCTTTATCACAATAAAATTAAAACCATCGTGGTTTTGATATCACACTTAATTACTTAATAATACCTATTTTTAGTAAAGATTATACGATAGTTTATGAAAATGATACGAAAAATGATTTCGTAGTTCGCTAGCAAGAAAAAAATATAGTAATTGTAATAAATAACCATTAATTATTATGATAATATATTTATTATCCCCCAGTGGCGCCCTTCTGGGTGAAGGTCCCCCGCCCCGTGGTGGGGGTGGCGGGGGAGGCCGCTGAGATCAGCTGCCGCGCTGGGGGAGACCCTGAGCCCCAGGTGCGTCCCCAGCCCCGTGACCCCAGCCCCGTGACCCCAGCCCCGTGACCCCAGCCCCGTGTCCCCAGCCTGTCTCTTATTACACATCTAGATGTGTATAAGAGACAGGTGCCTGGTACNTGTGTATAAGAGACAGCCCCAGCCCCGTGACCCCAGCCCCGTGACCCCAGCCCCGTGACCCCAGCCCCATGACCCCAGCCCCGTGACCCATCCATATTAGATATATTCATAATTAACTATGAATATAATTTGATCATTTTCTTATCCACATGATTATCTCTTGATCCGATTTAAGTAATTAAATATATAATAATTAATAACTGGAAGCCTGTGGCGTGTGTGGCGTAGGTGGTGTGGCGGCGGGTGGGGTCGCGTATGCCGGTGGGGAGGGCGACGGTGGTGAGAGGCCGCGGTCTGAGGGTCGCGCCTCTGAGGCCAGAGGACAGCGGCGTGTACGTGTGTGAGGCCACCAACTCCGCCGCCGCCATCGCTGCCAACGCCTCCCTACTCGTACAAAGTCAGATATAATGGATATACTTTGAAATACTTTATATTATATGTTTATTATTATATATAAATACCAGATATTACATTATATATTATTTTATCATATTATAAATAAATATTATTATATATTAAATATTATATCAAATTGGTATAGGTATATATTATATATTAAATACTAAATACTTTAATAAATAATAGTAATGGGTATACTTGAAGTTTAGGCAAAGTATAGTATGAAATTTTCCTATATTAGGCCTGTTTCAATGTAGGGCGCTAGCAACATTATGATGCTCTCTGAAATTATTGTCTCTTTGAAATAATGCTTGTCAAAACGTTTGGATATTTCAGTATTCTTCCCATTTACAAATAATTGTTTTTACTACATAAAGCTACTGCAATATTTGTGCCTTGCAGTACTGGACCTGTTCCTATGCTAGATTTCTATGTTAAGTCTCTTCACTGTTATGATGACATTTTGGTTTATTTAGGTAAATGTGTTGTACATGAAGCTCATGATGAATAAACAATATTGGTAGACTCTTATAAATTTTGGAATTATTATTTGCATCGTAACTATGTATATTCATACACTTGACTCTTTAGTCTTTAGGTGGTGTAATATAAATGATATATATAAGCATAGTTAATGTATTAGGTACTGTTATTCCCGTGCAGTTTAGTCTATAGTATAAACACAACACACTACGAATTTCATTTTGTTCAATGCATTGCGATTTTTTCAGTTAAACTCTCATGAAGACCAATTAACTAGTGTAGGAAGAAATCGCCATCCCTATCCTTCCTCAGCCTCCCCACGGGTAGTGGACGTGCCTGGGGACGTGGTGGTAGAGGAAGGATCCCCACTGCGCCTATCCTGCGCTGCTTCCTCCACTCCTCCCCCCTTCGTGTACTGGGCGCGCGAGGGCGGCCATCCTTTGCTGCCCGCCGATAACCGACCGATGGCCGCCGATAACCGGCCGATGGCCGCCGAAAACCGACCGATGACCGCCGAAAACCAGCGGCAATTGGCCGCCGATAATTTGGTTCATGGGAGCCGTTCACTTGCAGAGGATATCGTAGTCCACGACCTGCAAATGTTCCCTAAGGATAGCCACTTGTTGTCTTCTGATAACAACCACAAGAGTTATCCTTCGTCCGATAACAGCCATCGTGCTGATAACTACAACACACACGCTGAGCCCCCTGAGGGTTCAGATGAACCCTACACAGCCGTGTCATCTGTGTACTTCACACAAAGGGCTGATCGACACCACTCAGGGAGATACGTGTGTGGGGCTGTTAACCCCGCCGGGGGGGTTATGACCAGGGTCGGGGTTAGGGTTAGACCCGCGCATCTCTTACCGCCTCCAATAGTGAGGGTTGGACCCGTGAACCAGACGGTGCAGGTTGGGGGGCGCGTTGCCCTCGTGTGTCGTGTGTGGGGGGCGGATGTGGTGCAGTGGGTGCATGAAGGAGCCCCCGTCAAGAGCTCCCCCAGACATCGCGTCCTCGCTGACGACACCCTTACCATCAAAGGTGGGGGCTGGGTTGGGGAGGGTGAAATTTCTCTACTTTTCTCTTTGCAAATCTAATTTTTTTAGTGTTCTCTACTTTTCTCTTTGCAAATCTAATTTTTTTAGTGTTCTCTACTTTTCTCTTTGTAAATCTAATTTTTTAGCGTTCTCTACTTTTCTCTTTGTAAATCTAATTTTTTATTGTTCTCTACTTTTCTCTTTGTAAATCTAATTTTTTAGTGTTCTCTACTTTTCTCTTTGTAAATCTAATTTTTTAGTGTTCTCTACTTTTCTCTTTGTAAATCAAATTTGTTCAAGTGTGACGTAGATGTTCGGCTGTCTAGGTTGTTGAACAATTGAGTAAATTTTTCGCATTACCATCGGTTAAATTGCCGAATTATTCAGTATGATTACATATTCGTAATTATATCTATCATTTCGACGACTTGTTGTAAATGTTATTCTATTTCTGATAGCTCTTCAAAAATCATAATGAATACGAGTGGAGTTAGCGAATATGAGATTGCCGCCAGAGTTCATTGCAGCGTAAAACTGAGAAACAAACATGAAAGAAAGAAACGTAAAACATGAAACGAGCGTTTATCAACGAGCAACATTTCGAGCTGCGAAGTTAACTTTTGCCTATTTGCTTCGGTCTTCAATTTCTGTTCTATTTATTTATCTCATCTATCTATTTATCTCATCTAAATCTGATATACGTGCGATCTGATATACGTGATTTTGATTCTACTATCAAAAACTAGATAATTTTATTGAAGACGGATACGATGAATGAAAATATAATTTTCGGATATTTTAAAGTTTCGCATCACAGAGAGTAGATAATCAGCGGTTCAAACTGACGAGATAAACCAAAAAAAACTTCGTATTTTACGTTTGCACCTGAAATAAATATGCGTGTCTCTTGAGACATCACAACGCCTTATACGCATTTAAACTTAAGCGTTAAAAGATCACAACTAAAGACATACATCATACCGCGTAAAATGTGAAAATTTAGAACAGCACGTGATCTGTTCTACAAATCTTTTAAATGTATTCAATGTAAAATGAAATAATATATAATCCCTGAACTACCCAGATCTCTCTCCCCACGACCTGGGGCGGTACACATGTGTGGGGAGCTCGTCGAGGGGGGAAACTGTCGCCCACGCGTACTTGAAAGCAGCAGTGGGCTCTGATGCCTCAAGTGTGTCCCCACGACCCACTGATCCCGACGCGGCCCCCTCCCCCCCACCCACACCTACGGTCACGGCAGCTAATGGCACGACGGCCCACTTGGTGTGGGCGCCGCCCTCCCGCCAGGGGTCTAGCCCCGTTACGTCCTACAGCGTCGAATTCTACGCAAGTTCCGGAGGGACATGGCGCGTGGCAGCTGAGGGGCTTAGAGAACCCGAGTTTACCCTCACAGGGCTTGAGCCCCAGACGTCGTATGGGGTTGTGGTGCGAGCCCTTAATGGGGACGGCGTTTCTGAACCATCCGGGATCGCAGAGGTGGGCGGGGAGGGCCAATGGGCCACGCAAAGGACCCGGGAGGCGGAGAAGCTCCAGCAGGTCGTGCTGTTCCTGAAGGAGCCGTCCACTGTCAGCACCAGCACTGGGCCCGCTGCTGCCACCATCTCCTGGCTGGTCAGTCTTGGTCTTTGGTGTGATAGTTTTTTTATTGCCTCTTTGTTCGAATTTTTAGTTGCATGGAATTTTAAATTTGTATTTTGAACTTAATTTTGATTGTATTTTACTCATATAAATTTGTTTTTAAAACTTAATTTCGATTTTACTCGTTTATATAAGAATATTTTGCTCGTCCAAGAACTAAGAACTGTTCAATGCTTCATTTTTTATTGAACCAGTCTAATTATAATTCAAATGACATATCAGAATCACGATTCCTCTGTACTCGTCTCAACATTTTCAGATGTAATTTTATGATGCGGTATATATTTTATTTATATTGGAAAATCGCTATCATTTTCATTTGTGTGGAAATAGACAAAATTTTTTAATGATTGAAAGATTCCAAAGGAGAAGAACAATTTCGCTAGGGTAGGGAAAATTGTCCTCCATTCATATTCTGTTGATGCTTTCAAGCCGTCGATGAGGGTAAACATTTCACTTCTCTTCTTAATTTGAAGAAGGAAAAATGTACAATTCACGTAAAACTCGAACAGGAAGTATTCACGTCATTTCGTTTGCTCGAATCCCAAATAAACCGAGAAATTAATAACCAATGAAATACCGGTTAAATTAGCCATAATTTGACTGAACATTTTTCGTAGACCAGCCCACCCGCCCAGATCTGCTGTGTCTGAATGTCAGACTTTGGTGAAGACTTTGGTGACCTTGGAACCCCTGCATATTTTCGATAGAAAAACTTGCATAAAGAATGTTTAAGAGTGCTGTTTACATCCGTTTGAACATTTTAATGGATATGTTTTGAAGTTGCTAAGCCCGTTAATGAAGTTCTAAGGCATTTATTCCTTCAGCGTAAATTTTGTCTGTGTGATTATACTTGTATCCTCGAAGTTTTGATCTGTTGTTGGTGCTGGTCTCTGTAAATTTCCCTGTGAATTAATGATGAATATTCTTTATTCGTCATTAATTTTGAATTTATTTTTTTAGTTATCGGTCGGAAAGGAAAATATGAAACCCTGCCAAACAAGTTTGAAGACTTTAAAATCTATTATTGTAAACTATGTTAACATCGAGTAAAGAAAGATTATGTCGACCATGTAAGTACAGATAACGTCTGTAGAATACCTCATTACTGCACTCCTTGTTTGATCCACCTGACACAGAAATACAAAAGGCTGAGCCAAGTAAAACATTTTCTGGAATCAACAAGTTGATAATCCCATAAAATGGCGCTGCTTCAAAGCGCCTAAACCCGATGCCCTGGAGGCTTCCATCCGCGCTACAACAGATAAATTTATAGCAAGCTTTTCGGCGGCCGGTTCAAACACGACTGTTTATAGTGTCTTATTTCAAGAGGATTCTCAAGGAGGGCCTCCTTTAAATAGTTTGACTTTAGTTCTATTATGTTTATTGATCGACGGCAAGCAAGACTGTGATATATTTAGCTGGCGCAGCTGAAGATTCACGTGACGAGCAGACATGGCGAGTGGTCCTACCCTTACTTTACTCTTAACCTTTTTATTGTATAACTGTTTTTATTGTGTAGTAACCGTTTTCTTTGGTGTACCCGTTTTTTGTGTAACCGTTTTGGTTTAACCGTTTTTTGTGTAACTTTTTTTGTGTAACAGTTTTTTGTGTAACTGTTTTTTGTGTAACTGTTTTTTGTGTAACTGTTTTTATTGTGTAACCGTTTTTTGTGTAACTGTTTTTATTGTGTAACCGTTTTTTTGTGTAACTGTTTTTTGCGTAACTTTTTTTGTACACGTTTTTTGTGTAACCGATTTTTTTTTGTGTAACCGTTTCTTTTAATTATAATTAATTCTTAATTTTAATTGGAATCTATAGCTGCCTACGAATGCGTGAATAGAGGAAGAAGTTGACACTAAGTCTTGGCAAAGCTTCATAAGATTCTCTTATTATAGTATATATCAGAATAAGACCTAGCATCACTCATATTTAGAAGCTGACCATTGAACCGAACTTCATGAGTGGTGAATGCGAGTTTTAAATGCAGTTAATTTGTGCCAGTATTAATGCCGGCCATTAAAAAAAAGTTGATTCCATATAGAGATAACAAATATTATCTTCTCTAGAGTCTTGATACACGAGATCTTGGTCCTAACAGAAAACACACGTTCGTTAACGTTTTATGGATTCAAGGTTAACAGTTCTGAAATAATTTTTTTAATTGCGCGTGCAATGATTGTAATGAATGATTCACGTTGGTTGCAAAATCTTCTACATTTTATTACCTAGGTGGCTAATTAGCGCATTTTCTCATTTATGGAAAAAAAGGCGCTATTATGCTCGTCATGTCCGTCTGTCTGTCCGTCCGTGACTTCGCGTTTTCGTCAACAAGGAAATGCGCTCTCTGTCACTCACTGCAGTGAGTACTGGGTTATTTTTTTCATTGTCTGAAGTTATTTCAGGATTTATTAAACGCTAAATTTCGCACAATAAATCATATAACAAATAAAAATAATCGCGGAAAGTTACCAAATAAATTGCCTAAAAAAGGTATTTTAACCCCGCACGCTGAAGCATTTAGTTAGCTCAGGAACAAGCCCGTCGCTAGGAACGCAGCCTGGGGCTGCCGTAGCCCTATAGCAGACCCCAGTCCTAAGCAGACCCCCAGCACCCTATAACAGACCCCACCCCTATAGCAGACCCCCAGCACCTCTATAGCAGACCCCAGTCCTAAGCAGATCCCACTCCTATAGCAGACCCCCAGCAGCTCTATAGCAGACCCCAGCCATATAGCAGACCCCAGCCCTATAGCAGACCCTCAGCAGCCCTATAGCAGACCCCACCCCTATAGCAGACCCCACCCCTATAGCAAACCCCCAGCACCCTATAGCAGACCCCTGCCCTATAGCAGACCCCCAGCAGCCCTATAGCAGACCCCAAGCACCCTATAGCAGACCCCAAGCACCTCTATAGCAGACCCCCAGCAGCCCTATGGCAGAACCCAGCACCCCTATAGCAGACCCCCAGCAGCCCTATGGCAGACCCCCAGCACCCCTATAGCAGACCCCAACCCTAAGCCCATCTCCATAAATCGTGAGCGTTTGAACAGCGCTCGTTAATTGGCAGCTCTTGCCCCCCTCACTCTTACCTCATTCCCTTACCCTCTTATCCCCTCTCCTTCCCTTACCCTCTTATATCCCCTCTCCTTCCCTTACCCTCTTATCCCCTCACCTTCCCTTACCCTCTTATCCCCTCTCCTTCCCTTACCCTCTTATCCCCTCTCCTTCACTCACTCACTACCTCCTCCTTCATTTAGTTTACTCGATATTTCTTTAACCAGATTCATATCCTTTAGTTATATATTTTGCTTCGCGAAATTTCGCCTTAGTTTCCATGAAAATGAACGGACTTTAATATGTAAATTGACAAAAGGCGCAACAATTCTTTCGAAATTCCTACGTTTACATATGAAGATGTACAAAGTTTCGTTATTAGAATACGTTACCTTGTGCTATGAAAGTCAACAGTATAAACTTAATCGATGAAGGACGTAATTTCGCCAGGAAATTGAATATTCTTACGCTCCGTTATATCTGCGTTGCGATGAGCATACAAAATAATCTTCTTTAAAATTAAATGAACTTTTTTTCTGTCACATATGAACTTTTCAACAAGGTCCACTTTTCTTCAGTCACTGGTGAACCTTGCTCTTGAAATCGAATATATTCATTTGTAAAATGAATAAGATCGTCTCGAAAATGATCTTAAAATCGAAAAAATTCGTTTTTAAAATGAATAACGTTTGTAGCGAAGATGATACGATAGCATCCAAGTTTTTTTTGTTGTATGCTATCTGAGCCTGAATGCCCCGTTGCCCCAATCGAGGGCCACAACACCGGGCAGTAACGCTGGAAAATCCCCTCGTGAAATGATCGATGCACGCCGCGTTCACGACCGCCGCGTTCCACCTCGAGTCGCTGTTTATGAGGTCGTTATTTTTTTTCATCGAAGCGTACGGAGCGAGGGGAATTTTCCGCTGCATATTCCAAAAATGAAGCAGTAGCAGTTTGGGGCGGGTGCTACGGCCAGATAAGAGGCTTGGGCCGAGCGCTATCTTTACGCCTCTCGGTCAGCTGCTACACGACTCGCTACACTTGCCGCCATCCGACAAAATAACTCGGCATTAACCTCCTAGTCTTGTCCGCAACACTCGCTACACTTGCCACCATCCGACAAAATAACTCTGCATTAACCTCCTAGTCTTGGTCACAACACTCGCTACACTTGCCGCCATCCGACAAAAGGTACTCATAGATAACAAACATGTTCATGTGTACTTCATCACAGATTTTGTCCGTTGTTTTGTCTGCCACATTTTAGTAAAGCATTACTCCGGCTTCGTGTAAACTTTCGTAAGGGGAATATGATTCTTTTGGAGCTAGAATTTGGATTCGCAAATGTATTATTATAAAAGGTAATAGAAAATATTTAGTCGTATTTAGATTCAGAATGTAACGTTTGTCTCGTGCCTTAACGAATAAAATGAATTATATTTTTATAAAGGACTGTCTAGTCAGAACATTAAAATCCACGGATTTTTCAGCCAGTATTTAAGTGTCTGCCCTCGTGTGTTCGTACCCACCTCAGTGATGATTGTAATTTCCTCTCGTGATTTATCACGAAACCTGCAAAAAACTACTCTGCTTTCAATTTGCGATGTTTTGTACTCACAGGAGCTTATTAAATTCAGAATTATTTTAACAAATTGTACATAGAAAGAGTACCCGTGAACATGGAAATTTTTAACTTTGTATGTGCTCGCCTTGCACATTATTGCGATGGCCTATCATCTTTTGTTTTTCTCATTGCAAACCATCTTAATTAACACTCAGTTGTGATTCTCATTTTTCTTGTATTCGTTTTGCTGCCATCTGGGATTTTATTATTGTTATTTCATTTTATTGTATTGTTTACCCAATTTATTTCGCTTTAATTTTTTTTATTTTTACAATTCTCTACGCTGCTCGTGTTTTATCTACTATTATTTATACTATAAATTGCGCCATTTTTTATGAATCAACTATCATTAATTTTCTACTTTTACCGCTTTCTCATCGTCTCTGTTTCATTTTACTACATTGTTTTTGTATTTATCTGGGGTGGTATTTTATGTAATCGTTCCGCTGATTCACTATATATAATTTTTGCAACCCATATTCTTTTTCTTTCCACGTTTGGCATTCAACTTTGATTCATAAGTAAAGTAAAGGTCTTGTTTCATGGTTGTGTTGTGTTGTTTTATTATTTTCTCTGTTCACTTTCTATTTAACAGTTTTTACGATTTTCCTATTTTTTACAATTCATCGGTGTGTTTGAGATTTATTTTTTCCTTCAATTACTGCTGTATTTTCCATTGATTTTCGTTTCTTTCCTCGCAATTCCTCTTTATATTCATGCTTCCCCGAATACTTTCAGTCATTTTATAACAGTTTTTTCCTACGCATTTGGTCTCAGTTTCTATGCTTTTTTCTGTAGTCCCAGCAAGCGTTCAAAGGCCGCTCGCTTTGCGCCTCGGATTTTCGCTGTCGAGAAACAATGAATATATTTCAGTCTATTCTGAAAGTGGTCAAGAGAGCGATGCACGTTAATATTGGGATTTCCAGACACGAACTACCAAGAGTTTTATAAAACTCAGGTTGCGTAATTTTCAAGTAACAACACGTTTGTGACTATCATGTGATTAGATGCGTTATTATGAATAACGGCACATTCACGTCATTCTTGTTTCAGGATGCCTAAATATGAATAGTGACACGTTCGGACATTAATATGGCAGGATACGTAATTATGAGCAACAGTACTTAATTTGAGCGACGAACATGTAGCTGTATAATTTGTATTGTCTTAGACAGAAATTTTATTCCACACGAAAAATAGTACAATTGTTGGATGCTAAGCATCTGATAAATGCAGTGAGTTTTTCTTCAATCAGCGCATCATCTATAATGATAAAAACTTTTTTTAAAGGTACACATACGTATATATTTTGCAGGTATTTTCCAATAATAGATCTAATATTTATATAATATTTAATAAAAAATATAATATTTATCTAATTTTTAATAATAAATCCAATATTTATCTGTCCTACAGTTGAAAGGGGAAGCTTCTGCTGTAGAAGGATTCTACATCCGCCTGCAGCACCTGCCTAGGGAGGCCTTACCTCCCCAGACCTCAGCAATATCTTCACCAGTCCTGGGGACTCTTGAGAAGTCCTCTTTCGTCTCCGGCGGATTCCCCCCAGACCCCCAGTCCCCCTTCACGAGTGAACTGGACGGGAACTCGTCAGTCGTGACAGTCCTCAACGCGGGGTCTGGTCTATCGTCCTACGTCCTGCAGGGTCTACACAACTACCGCGCCTACACGGTCTTCCTGGTGCCCTTTTACGACACGTTTGAGGGTAGACCCTCGAACAGCAGGGCGTTCGTCACGCCCCTCGCAGGTCAGGGTCTAAAATATAGGGTATAATTTTATTAAAAATGGAAAGCGCTAGATTATCAATTCATTATATTTATCGTAAGTATTTTGTTCTAAATTAATATTAGAAATTATTTGATGTTTAAAATAGATTGTTCACGCTCGCAAAAGAAGAAAATCTTGTCAAATAGAAAACGGTTTTTATCATAGCCTCTAACTTATTCAAGTTCCATGAATTCATTTCAAGTAAATATTCATATACTTTTATTGCCTGCGGCTCTCAACATCGGTTTGCTTCAAGTTCACTGCCGTGTCTTAGACCGTTGCATGGTTCTCGCTTGCTGTTACAAACTTTACCACTGCTTACAAACTTTTGACATGCGATTGTGACTTATTTGTGAGCATAATCAGTAGTTTAATCTTGCTTTGCCCACGCTCATTTTTAAGCATCCGCTAATAACCTCCGCAGTATTAACGCAGTCCCTCCTCAAGCATGTTCCGTATTGATGTGTTCCTTCTTCAAACGCGTTCCGTATTAACGCGGTCCCTACTCAAACGAGTCCCGTTTTAAAAGCGGTCCCTCTTAAAACGCGTCCAGCTGATCGTTTTATTCGGCTAAGCCACCATGCTTTTCTACTCGAGTTTGTCGTGTTGAATCCTCGATCCCTTCTTCTGGATACATTAATGTCGAACTATTAATCCTCCTCAATGATATCCATGGTTCCGCCCGACACTAACTCCGCCGTATTCCTGCCTCGGGAAGGTAGCGTTTTATATTCCTGTTACTCGACCATGGATTCACTGACACATTCGTGTTCCGTAGAAGTATTATTACCCGAAAACATTGCCGGCCATTTAACCAATAGATGCCGATATTGACTCCACCTGCGGTCTCTTATGAACCTGATTAAAGACTGCAGGTAGTCCATGTATGGAAATATGCTCCAAATAAGTCCATATTAAACTTCGTATACTGAAGTAACACGTAAACTCTTCTCAACCAGGCCGATATGAAGGTTAGGTTGTCGTGTAAGTTTCCATGCAATGTCAGAACAATAGACGATACGAAATTTAGTTTTGTCCGGTGAACGCCTTGAGGAGAGTTTCGTTAACTAATAGAGACACTGAGTATTCGTTGATGTTGTAATTCACTGCCACCAACATAACTACTGTGGAAGTCAGCTCTTCATTTTAATATTTGTTGTTGCCAAATTTTCCCGCGTAGCTCTGTTTAGGATTTCATTCTTTTTCGGTAGAACTGTTCAGCTCAATATTTTTGTTGTCCTTCTTACTATCTGCAGCGGTTTTGCAGTCTTCGTAGTTTTTTTTTAAATTTGAAATGGTTGATGCGTATAGGAACCGAATCTAGTTAATGGAGGAATGAACCAGCCCCTCCTTTGAGAAAGCAGCGATCTTGCAATCCAAAGTCAGTGTTTTATTTTTTGACGCATTCTCGACGCTCACCATCGTCTGATAAAACCGCTAATTGAACAGCAACAGCGATAAGTTGAGACCCGTTAACAGGTATAAGATTACAAGACTTCTCTGTTCTCCGCTGTATCGGCCATCATGTATCTCAGGAGCTAAACGATGGCATGGTGAACTCGTTTATTTCCCCTGTGATTAAAGAGCCTGATGATCTGATATATTAAAGCTTTTTCAATTGTAAGCTTTAGAGTGCTATCTTTATATTTTTACAAGTATATTTGACACCGACACTACTTCTTGTGGCAAATTCCAGTGTTTGAAACGTTCGAGTTTTGGAAAGACAATATTTTAATTTTAGGATATAGGGAAAATAATTGTCGCGGAAATCGCGTTCTTCAGCAGCACTTATTATATAAATTCGTTTTTATCTCATTGAGAATCATTGAATAATAATGTGCTAGTGCCACAAAATAAACACAAAATTTGTATTTCAACTTGAAAAATCAAGCATGAAAATTCGTCGTTTTCAATGTGACTGAGTTGGCTGTGAGAAAAAAAAGTGCCAATGAGTTGAGAAACTGTCACACAAATCTACAAAATTATACAGATGAATTAATGTAATTTAAAGAAGATTACGTTAAATGAAAGATTGATTATTTTGCGATATTGTACCGACTTATATGTCAGAAGGCACCATTAAGCGTCGCCTGGCTTAGAATTTTAGTTCTACATGATAACGGGATTCGTTGACTAAGTGCGTAAGAGATAAGTAAAACACTTATCTCAATAGAACTTATCTTGATACCGGGTGGTTATACATTGAAGTCATTTCAGAAATACTGACAAGTATAGGCTAAGACGTTTACCCTTAGGTCGGAGTAACTCTAGCGGTGTTACATGGTGAGGTGCTTGCTGACTACTGGCAGCCTAACTAAGGTTCCAGCCCTTTTATAGACTTATACTTCCGCCCACTACTGAGGTCTTGATTGCGTGATATCGCGGGATTTTGTCCATGCTGACTCAAGTCTAGTACTTTTCCATCAACCTCTACCACGTCTAGTGAATATTACGTCTCAATAACAATGATCTAATCTTATAATATTATTATAATGAATATAACGAGACGCCAGATTGACACTGGAAATGAACAGTACATTGTAAATACAATTGACTGTAAATTTCAGACTCTGTAATGACTATTGACTGTAGCAGCCTTTAGTGACACTGCCAGAGAGTACCGGCACGAGGGGAAACTCCTTGATTTTGCAGCTTTCCCCTCGGTTGCCCTCGTCGACAAGCTCCCTCATTAATACAGAGACTCGTCGCCGCGGTCGGACCTCGCTGTTCCTTGCAAGCTCGCGTGAAATTCTAACTTAATTTAACTACAGCTTTGATTGCCGCCGCGGCCATTCTGGAGATTGTGAGATTGGTATCGTTTGAGATAACGAATGCGAATGAGAATTAAAACGCATGGAGAAAACTCAACTCATTAAACTGGGTATATAATCTAATTCAAAAGTTGAAAATCACGTAGAAAAATGCATGATAACCGTCCAGGAACTGAGATATGAGCTCCACGAGCAAATTCAAAGCAGTCGTGCAGAGACAGGAATTCTTCCAGGTGAAACAAGTGCAGCATTGCACGAACAACTGATTTTGATATACTACGAAGATCTCAAGCGCCATGAAAGAACTCGGGCATTGGAAAGAGAGTGAGCGGTCGCACTAACGAACGAATATATAACGAAAATTTTGTGATTGTACGGAAAATTATTTTAAAACGAATCAATAATTTTGTGATAATATCAATAATCATTCTGGTAGACAATGGAGTGCACATGTCCGGCCTCTCAATATTCTCTTTTTTTTATCATGTTGATCTCTTAATTAAATACTAGCTAAAAAATAAAAACTGTTTCAATAATAACTTGGACAGTTTTTGTTCAAAATTGACGAACGCCTCGCAGCACACAATGGACCAACGCAAGAGAATGAGTTTGCCACTCAATTTATACGCAGCTTGCCACTCAATATATACGCAGCTTGCCACTCAATATATACGTAGCTTGCCACTCAATATATACGTAGCTTGCCACTCAATATATACGCAGCTTGCCACTCAATATATACGTAGCTTGCCACTCGATATATACGTAGCTTGCAACTCAATATATACGCAGCTTGCAACTCAATATATACGCAGCTTGCCTCTCAATATATACGCAGCTTGCCACTCAATATATACGCAGCTTGCCACTCAATATATACGCAGCTTGCCACTCAATATTCCGTGGCTGGCGTAACACGCGCTTATTGCGGTGACGCCTGCGGCCGCCCGATTTGCTACGCAGGAATGTCGTCTAGGAACCTGCCCTTCACACACCCCTTCATCTAATGTTTCTATTGAAAGGACCTGCCCTTCACACACCCTTCATCTAATGTTTCAATTGAAGGGACCTGCCCTTCAGACCCCCTTCATCTAATGTTTCAATTGAAGGAACCTGCCCTTCACACACCCCTTCATCTAATGCTTTAGCTGAACTTGCTGCATTTTAATAAACTTCTCCACGCTTGAGTTTCTGATCAAATTCACGTAAATAAAAGCAAACGCATTTCAAATCATGGCCGTTATTAAAATCTGCCGATTTTGAAGATTTTTTGCTTATTTTTCATATAATATTCAACGCTGCCCTTCATTCTAAATAATTAAATTAACTTTACTATTGATGACGTCATTTTTGACGCTATCATTCACTTTATTGAAAAGAATAATTTAGAAAAAGTGTAGTTTAATTGAAATTAATGGAAAATTTTATCAAATGAGCATGAATTTCTCACATCACCACTGCCTCCCCCCACAGCTCCCTCAGCGCCCCCCCAGAGCGTGGGGGTGCAGCTCACCAACGCCTCCTCCGCCACCCTCTTCTGGGCCCCACCCCCGCCCCTCCACCGCAACGGCCCCATCACCTACTACCAGGTGACTAGTGCGACTAGTGACTACCAGGTGACTACTAGTGGGACTAGTGAGACTACCTGGTGACTAGTGAGACTACCAGGTAACTAGTGACTACCAGGTGACTAGTGACTACCAAGTGACCAGTGACTACCAGGTGACTAGTGGCTACCAGGTGACTAGTGACTACCAGGTGACTAGTGAGACTACCAGGTGACTAGTGACTACCAGGTGACTAGTGACTACCAGGTGACTAGTGACTACCTGGTGACTAGTGGCTACCTGGTGACTAGTGGCTACCAGGTGACTAGTGACTACCAGTTGACTAGTGACTACCAGGTGACTAGTGGCTACCAGGTGACTAGTGACTACCAGGTGACTAGTGTGACTACCAGGTGACTAGTGGGACTACCAGGTCACTAGTGATACTACCAGGTGACTAGTGCGACTAGTGACTACCAGGTGACTAGTGGGACTACCACGTGACTAGTGCGAATAGTGGGTGATTAATGACTACTGGGACTACTAGTGGGTGACTAATGACTACTATGGCTACTAGTGCGACTAGTGGGTGACCAATGACTACTGGGACTACTAGTGCGATTAGTGGGACTACCAGGTGACTAGTGGGTGACTAGTGACTACTGGGACTACTAGTGCGACTAGTGGGACTACCAGGTGACTAGTGCGGCTAGTGAGTGACTAGTGGGACTACTAGTGCGACTGGTGGGACTAACAGGTGACTAGTGCGACTAGTGAGTGACTAGTGGGACTACTAGTGCGATTAGAGGGACTACTAGTGCGACTAGTGGGACTACTAGTGCGACTAGTGGGATTATCAGGTGACTAGTGCTGCTAGTGGGACTCCCTAGTGACTAGTGCGGCTAGTAACCTGGTGACTAGCGCGACCAGTTGGGGCTATCAGGTGACTAGTGAGACTACTTGGTGACTCTTGTGACTAGTCTTAACGGCGTAGTGACTAGCGCCATGTATTAAAACGCCTCCATGCCCAGTTTTCAGAACTATTTTATGCCTACATCCATGCCCACACACATCCCCATATAGTTGTATCTATTCACTGTCTCGGAACTAGAAAATCAGGGCAGCCCAGCACGGTTACTAAAGAAAAATTTCTTTCGTACAAATAATATTTTTCAATTTCCTCTTTAGATTACTCGTACATTATAAGTAAACGTTGCCTCCATAAACCTCCTGCAATTTTCATAACAACCTTCGCATATTAGGCGTAAGCTTTTATTTTTTCCACTTATATTTTGTATCCACTTTATTCTGTTCACTTTTATCTTGAACAAAATCAATACTTGACGAGGATGAAAGCGGGTTTGGTACTCCCTAAACCGCCTCTTCCTTAGATTTTTTACTCTTTTTCGAATAGCAACAAAAATTTTGTCCAAAATTTGATTTTATTCTCCTTAGATTACCCGTATATTTTAATTCTAGCCTCGATTTTTCATCTCAACTTTTTACGTTTATTTTTACTCCACCTCCACTCACACAAACCCTTCCTCCTAAAGGTGGAGGTGGTGGCGAGCTACAGCTCCACCTCCACTAACACAAAGCCTTCCTCCTGAAGGTGGAGGTGGTGGCGAGCTACAACTCCACCTCCACTAACACAAAGCCTTCCTCCTGAAGGTGGAGGTGGTGGCGAGCGACGGCTCCGTCTTCCTCTCCCGTAAGGTGAACGGCTCCACGTGTTCCCTCCTGGTGGGGGGGCTGCAGGTGGGGAATGATTACCACCTGAGCCTCGCCGCCGCCACCGCCGGGGGTCGGGGTCCCTTCTCCCCTTCCCTCCTTCTGCACGTGGACCCCGTACAGCTGCACCCCCTAGCCAACGTAAGCTACTTCACTAATTATGAATTACTCCTGTAACTAGTGTAAAGTAAATCGGGATGAAAATATGCTTCAAGCAAATAGAAGGAACATAACATAAAATAACATAACATAGTGATCTCGGCGCTGAAACGTCGTAGGTCTGATGTGGCCTGTCGCCGATTCTTTTCCTTTTCGTGCCTTGTTCACAGAAGATCTAAAATCGTGTCATTTGACCGGATCTTTTCATGTCTGACGATAGTTTGAAATAGCTACTATTCTTCCACCGAGTTCGATAAGGTGCTAGGCATTTCAAATCTGAACATATATTTTTCCATAGCTTTATCTAGTCTGTTCTTGAACGCGTTCATACTTGGAGCGATACTTTACACTTGTCAGCATTATACCGCAGCTGCCACGCATCAGCCCAGTTAACTAAACTGTCAAGATCATCTTGTAATTGCGCTTTATTTGACGCATCCTCCACTGTATTATAAACTTTTGTGTCGTCGGCATACATGGAGCACACGCTGGAGACTGCTTCTGGCAAATCGTCTAGAAAAGCAACGAACAAAATTTTGTTCGTTGCCTATTAATAGGCCCAAGAACGCTTCTTTGTGGCACGCCACTGCGCACTGATGCCCAGTCTGACACGGTTCCGTTAATACTGACACATTGTCGTCAACCTACTAGAAAATCTCTGATCCATGTTAATAAATTGAATGATAAAGTTCTCTGCTCGTCGTCCTACAATACCGTCTGTCCATCCTAAAATACTGTGTCCACCGTACAATACCGGTTGTCCACCGTACAATACCGTTCGTCACTGTACGAAAACCGTTCGTTCATTGCATGTCACATTTCACGGCATGCTCCTCATCATATAACACCGAAGTGTGCCACATTTCTCGGCGTCCTCCTCATCATATAACACCGAAGTGTGCCACATTTCACGGCATCCTCACCTTTTCAGCGTCGGTAAAGCTTCCTAGTTTTATGACGCGCTGATTGGGCCACAAAACATCGAAGCTAAGCTTAATGCCAGCGTTAAATTATTGTTCCTCATCGCACGCAGCAACTATCTATTTTCTGGCTCTGAATTAATCATATTATTGGCGGGAGTTATTCAATGAGAGACTCAGACTCTAGTAGCATTAAGCGACGGCTCCTGTTGGTATGCCGGCTGTTGGTACGCCGGCTCAATCAAAGCAGAGATGAGAGGCAGGGTAACCCTGATTGTCTGTTTAGTAATGCACTGTTTTTTTAAATGCCAGGATAACGTTGATTTTTTGCGCAATGAACTCGAGTTCCTACTTACGTTATCCCCTGTACCTTTATTGTCTAGAAATTTCTACACGTTCTGTAAATATAGTGCCGTGTCATTGACAATTCATGGAACCTGGCATTATGTGATATTCTTCATCGTTGTGATCTCGAAATTATTTAAATACAGAAGGTCATTTGTAATCCTTAGACTCGTTTATAGTTCCGAAGCCTAATCAAAACTCCTGCCTTGATGTACGTGTTTTATTGCGCGCACTCCTTTAATGTTAATGTATTCGATATTTTCACTAGAGAATATCACGGCATTCACCCCAATGATACAGACTGTACTGCCATTAGATGTGGTATAGACTTCATCCGTGCCACTAGAGGGGATGAAGCCTATTAATGTTTCACTACATAAAGTGGATTTGAAGCGGTAATTCTGATATACGATTGAAGCTTTAATAAGAATATATAATCACCTCGGCTATCTCGATCAGTATAACAGCAATATAGATGACAGCAACAGTAACTCTGGAGAACTGGCAGCAGCAGCATGAATCAAAACAATAATAAACTACATATTTGTGTGAATGAAAGTATTATGAAGAGCACTACCAAATCAACAGCGTTATCGTCACCAATAGCAGCAGCGCACTCCGTAAGGTTTTGTCATTACGCAGCATGTTTCTCCGGCGTACATACGACTAGGACCTTTAATTTAGGCAGGAACAGACCGAAGATCTCAGAAGGCAAAATTCAGTCCGTAGCCAGAACTCGCCTAGATTGCTCAGCAATATGAAACTTTATTATTTATTTGTGTTTATGTTCTTCCGTACTGTTAATAACTTAGATTTGTTCACTAATTCATGTTTAATTGTTCCTTCTTTGTTTCCAAACTACGTTACTAATATTGGACGAATTTCTTTAGTAGACCTTCACAAACAGCAAACAATAATCTTTATGCTATCACTATCAGTTGTAGCAGCAACAGCAGCATTATAGCGCTATCCGTGGAAGTAGCGCTATCATCAGTATCAGCAGCAGCACATCATCAGTATCAGCAGCAGCACATCATCAGTATCAGCAGCAGCATATCATCAGTATCAGCAGCAGCATATCATCAGTATCAGCAGCAGCATATCAGCTGTAAAAGTTGCCGGCAAGTTTTCTTGGTATGCCGGAAGCGCGCTAAGTTTCAGCCGGAAGTTCCTCAGCGAACAGGAAATAACTTCACCGAGTTCCTTGCGGGACGCTTTGTGGTGGAGCAAGTGGTGGTGGTGGTGGTGGTGGTAGTAGTTATGGTTGTGGTGCCAGTGGGGGTGGTGGTGTTAGTGGTGGCAGTAGTTATGGTTGTGGTGCCAGTGGGGGTGGTGGTGCAAGTAGTGTTGGCAGGGCAAGTGGTCATGGTGGTGCAAGTGTTGATAGTAGTTATGGTTGCGGTGCAAGTGGTGGTGGTGGTGGTCGTGATGGTGTAAGTGATTGTGGTGGTTATGATGGTGGCTTTAATGTGTTGTGTTATAGGTCTGTGTTATGTTGATCTTCTGTTGCTTTAGAGCGACGTTTAATAGGCAGTCTGCATTCGTAGGTTCACAATCCGCCTTCAAATTTTGTTACTTTTATTCAAAATTGAAACCATCTTTCGACTTCATTTTTTCCATTATCCTTTGAATTACTCACTGAACAATAAGTTTTTTATGTACTCCGTGAAATGACAACGTGCCAAACATCAATGTCCTTCCTCTTTTCTTTTTGGATCACTTCCGATGTGAAATGATTCACGTGTTCCTTATTTCAGTAGTTCTCGTTTGCATGAAATTGTAACGTTATTGACGTTCAGAACACTCGTGATGCCAACACTCGTGATGCCAACACTCGTGATGCCAACACTCGTGATGCCAACACTCGTGATGCCAACACTCGTGATGCCAACACTCGTGATGCGAACACTCGTGATGCGAACACTCGTGATGCGAACACTCGTGATGCCAACACTCGTGATGCCAACACATTCCCCCACTCTGCAGGGGATGACGACATGAATGAGGACCTCGTTGGGGCAGATTAATCAACGCGTTTATCTCGTTAGGCGTCGCGTCTGATCTGCGGTCTCTGCGTTCGCTGCCATCAGCGGCCGCTGACGCTGTCAGACGCACGAGCTGTGACTTTTTTGCAGCCGTACGTCTTTTGTGCGCTAAAAAAGACATAAAACTAAACAAACTAAACCAAAATAAGGCAAACATAATACTAAAAACTAGAACAGAACTTAAAAAAGGCATACATAAAACTCTTAGGTAGAGTCACGGTATATGCTGAAAAGCTGCAGTAAATGAACGTAGTATAGAAAACGTTGTATCGAATAACGAAAACTTTGAGGTATAGTGTCACGGTATACCTAAAACGCTACGGTGAAGGTACGGTATGCTCAATTATTACGGAATGTAGGCTATCAATATGACATTATCAGTTATTTTTAGCCTTCCGTCTAATTTACTATGATAAGAGTTCAAATTTTTTCACAAATATTCTTTCACTTTCAAATGATTACAATTTGAATTTCGATTCCTACTGTAGAATGGAAACTATGTGTATTATAAATCGTAAAATGAATCATAATTTGTAATTTTTATTTATAATTTTGTATGTTACCCCTGGTAGGCCGGCCCGTCGCTGGGGGCGCTGCAGGGGGACATGGTGCTGATGGGGGCGGTGGGTGCGGCGGTGTTCTGCCTCCTGCTAGCCGCCGTCACCGCCACCCTGGCGCTGCGCCGCCGCGCCCGTAACAAGGCGCTAGCTCATCACACCCGTGAGTGATGGTGGCGGGTAATGGGTGATGGGTGCTGCAGGGTGGCGATAATGGGTGCTGCTGGGTGGTGATAATGGGTGCTGCTGGGTGGCGAATAATGGGTGATGGAGGGTGGCGGATAATGGGTGTTGCTGGGTGGTGATAATGGGTGCTGCTGGGTGGAGGATAATGGGTGCTGCTGGGTGGTGATAATGGGTGCTGCTGGGTGGCGGATAATGGGTGGTGATAATGGGTGCTGCTGGGTGGTGATAATGGGTGCTGCTGGGTGGCGATAATGGGTGCTGTTGGTGGCGATAATGGGTGATGGATGCTGATGGAATGTGATGGGCACTGCAGGAGAGTGATGGGTGCTGCTAGTGGGTGATGCTGAGGTGTGATGGGTGATGATGGATAATGACGGGGCTGACGTGATCTGCTGAGTACTGTTGGGAGGTGTTGGTTACTACTGTGGTGGTCTAGTGATTGGTACTACAGGGGGGTGCTGGATAATTATAAGTAATACTGAGGAATATTTGGCATTACGCGGCAGTGCAGGTAATGCTGAGGAATACTCGGCAGTACGTGGTAATGCTAATGCAGGTGTATAGGAATTCGGGACCACAATACCCTAAGCGTAGTCCAGAGTAGCTGGATAATCCCAATTATACGGTCCAGAGTTTGTTCAGCTATAGAATCCACCGCGGACGCACCAACGTAACCGGGCCTCGTCATGGGATGCGAATCTAAACACGCGTTAAGTTACTAAACATATCTTTAAGAAAAGAAGTAAAGGAAGGGAAACTAAAAGAAAGCCTTGTGGCCAGGTACACTGGAACTGCAGGTTCCAATGGGATGCAAGGTTCCATCGGGATGTAAGGTTCCACCGGGATGCAAGGTTCCACCGGGATGCAAGGTTCCACCGGGATGTAAGGTTCCATCGGGATGTAAGGTTCCACCGGGATGTAAGGTTCCATCGGGATGTAAGGTTCCATCGGGATGTAAGGTTCCATCGGGATGTAAGGTTCCTTCTGGATGTAAGGTTCCATCGAGATGTAAGGTTCCATCAGGATGTAAGGTTCCATCGGGATGTAAGGTTCCACCGGGATGTTAGGTTCCATCGGGATGTAAGGTTCCATCGGGATGTAAGGTTCCATCGGGATTCAAGGTTCCAATGGGATGCGATGCAAGGTTCACAGGGATGTAAGGTTCCACCGGGATGCAAGGTTGCAATGGGACAGAAGATTGAACTGAGTGCTTAAGGCGCCAGGTCGGGGGAATAAGTCGTGTTACGAGCGGTATTGGTTGGTTCAAATTTTGATTACATCCTTTACATCAGATTTCAGGTTAACATTAAACTCAGCATTTAGTGAACAGAATTTGCTCTGTTTAAGATTCGTTCGGTACAATATGTTCTGTGCGCTTCGTTAGGTATGGTTTGTTGTGTAAGATTCGTTGGGTGCCATTGTTCTTGTATGATTCGTTGGATACATTTTGTTGTATAAGATTCGTTTGGCACAGGTTGTTACGTACGATGATTCGAAATGTCAAATTTTGGACTATAAAATTGTCTTGCATAATCTCCGGAAGAAAATTAATTAGATTACGTAAAAATTTTTTATTATGCATGAAAAATGATCGGATATGCAAATATACATCAAGTGTCGGCGAACGTTGGAGAAATATCACGTAGTCAAATCTTGCATCAAGAGGCAAAAAAGGAATCATTCACTTAAATATATGGCGAAAAGTTACAAAATGTGAATAATTAACTATTTAAAATTTGTTAAGCCAACAGCGAAGAAGGTAATAAATTTAAAATGAAAAAAATAGCGCATATTTTTTATTTCAGAGAGTCTTAGAAATTACAGAGCCTAAACTGTAAAGTATCTTGAGTGCCGCGGCAGCTTTGCGTCGTTATACGGCGCTCCATAGGGAGCCTTGGGCAGCTCTTCATCTGCAGTAATGGCGCAATATCGCCTCCAAGTCCACTCCAAAATATAAAACTGAGTGCGCCATTCCGCCTCATTGTTCGACGGAGAGTGGCCGGCATTGTGCGTCATTGTTCACCGGAGTGCAGCTTCCACTTCTTCAACATCACCGTGAATGTTGCTAGCCCCAGGCGATCCGTTCACGTGAAATTCACCTCAAATCTTCGGCTTTGTCGCTCTGTCGAATTTACTAAATTTTCATAATAACTTATCATTATCTTATTTGTTTTCAGGTATTCTAGTCATTCTGGCCTGTATTAATTCTATTATTAAAAACATTGATTCTAGTTATTATTGATTCTAATTAAAAGCACGACTTCTTGTAAATGAATTAGCGGCCGGTTTTGTCGCTCTGTCGAATTTAAAAAATTTTCATAACCTATCATTATCATGTTTGTTTTCAGGTATTCTACTCATTCTGTACTGCATTGATTCTGTTATTAAAAATATTGATTCTAATTATTATTGATTCAAATTAAAAAAAATTATTGTAATTGAATTAACGAAATTTATTTACTAAATTTTCATGACCTATCATCATCTTATTTGTTTACTACAGGTATTCTACTCATTCTGGGCTGGAGTGATGCTATTATCAAAAACATTGATTCTAATTATTATTGATTCAAATTAAAAAAAAATTATTGTAAATTAATCAGCGGAAATGATTGATAGTTTGACTGTTGCTCAGCGTCGGCGCACAAGAGCGACGCGTTGTCCACGAGCCTGGGCGCTGCGAGCGCCTGCCTGTGGGAGGAGTACGCGGGCTGGCAACTAGAGAAGTGCGGTGCCCCCCCTGCTGCTGACAAGGTATATGCCCCCGCCTGCTGCTGATAAGGTATGTGCCCCCCCCCCTTGCTGATTATATAAGTGAGTACCTCCCCCTGCAGCTGGCGAGTTCGGTACCCCAGTGCGGGGTTCGCATCTTGAACGTGACCTCAGGTGCAGTACTGCATAGCACAAAGACGTCAGATTTTAAATAGGTTTGTTGACTTATCGCATATTCTTAGCTACTCGGCCACCTTGCCAATTTAGATCACTGACTTTTGACAGTTTTGAAATCTACTTGCAAGTTTCGAACTTGCAATTGGCGGTTCAAAATCTCGGCGATCTTATCCAATCGGCCAGGCTTCAGTTGCTCTAAGCCATTTTCAGTACGCGTTGTATATGTCACAGGCTCACAGCTCATCTATTACGACTGCAAACTGAAGGTATTGTTCATCGGGTCAGAGTTCATTGAAGTGGTCTTAGACAGTCAAACAGACTGAAAGACAGAGTTGACTTTAGGAGAATACTATATTTATATAACGGAACGCGTGGCGTGACAAGCGGGGTGACTGTGAGCAAGGCTTATAAGCTCCCGCCAGCAAACGCGTTGCAAGAGCGGCTGGGGAGTGACTGACTATCGGTGCTGAAGGCACGGTAAAGAACCGCAAGTGTGATGTCACTGAAGGTGACGTACAATAATTAATCAATGTAACAGCTGAGGATGTCGGTTAGTACCGGACCTGTATTCTCATTGACAGTTCACATCGTTAAGTACGATTACTTACCAATTTAACTACGATAGTTCATATATCATATCGTTGGTATTCATGATGTCACGCCCCTGACGCGGCCAGATCCTCAAGGGCGCCCCCCACGAGGGTATGGAGGGCAGCGTGCCCGTGGGGCGCAACCTGATCACCTTCTACCGGGGCACAGGGTCCTCTGAGGGGCCTTACGCCACCACCTCCCTGCTGGGGCCTACGTCGGGAGCAGCGCTTCTGCGCGCGGTCGGTAGTTAAATAGTTAAATGTTGTTTATGTTAATTACATTACGCATGTTATAGGTAGTTAAATGTTGTTTATGTTAATTAATTACATTACGCATGTTATAGGTAGTTAAATGTTGTTTATGTTAATTACATTACGACATGTTATAGTTAAATGCTGTTCAAGTTAATTACTTTACAACACATTAATTGTGTCGTTCAGCACTGCCAAACTTAGTACCTCTATCCAAAATTACGACATATATTGAAATAGAATGTATATACTACCCGATTACTATTGTTACGTAGTTTTCTGACTTTGGTCATGTTGTTCGTTGACCATTACTGAGTGGTCAAGTTTTAATTTCGGTAGGAATGTCACGTGAATGACATGTATAGCGGTTTCCGCTTCTCGACCGCAGTCCGGTCTGGATCAAATCTATTTATGCTATTTGAAATTAGGGAAAATTTAAAATTACTATTAAGCTTCTTCGCAATATAAATGCTTCACATTCACTTAGCTGAACATTTTTCTATAGTGTGTTTGAAGAGCAGCTTCTCAATTTCCTCCATTACTTTCTGCTTTCAGCTTACCTATTAATCATAATTACCCTTCCTTCACTATATCTTCCTTCACTATATATTCCTTCACTATATCTGTTTTTACTATATATTATTTTACTAAATCAATTTTCACTATATCTTCCTTCACTATATCTTCTTTCACTATATCTTCCTTCACTATATCGTGTACACTTCTCTTACTCGTCAATGATATCTCTGTATTGGGAGGTTTGTTATCACAGCTTTTGTATGTGCGCTATCACTGCTGGCCTTCTTTGGACTGGAATTAGTTTGACCTTTAACGATAAATATAAACTAGGCCGTAATTCGAGCGTGAACCATCCTTCCAAATAGACTAGCCCTAAAGTGCAGTACGCGTGCTTTGCCGTACGAATGAGGTTTGAACGCCTGTTTTACTCACAACATTTAAAATCCTCATTCAATGCAATACTCTATTCAAATATCTTGGTCGGTTTCTGAAGAGTTTGAGAAATAGAAGCTATAATATTAAAGGTATAATATAGAGGATCAATAATTAAGGTTGACGGCAATTAAGAAAGGGTTCATGCAGAACTTCGATATCGCTGTATTTTAGATTAGCTTGTGCGAAGCCAGAAAAATTGGTGAGCGCGTATTGAATTAACTCAAAACACACATTTGCTTTTTGTTTATTTTGAATTACCAACTATATATGTGGTTGTTTTATTACCACCTGGTTTGTTTATTTGTATACGCCTCGCGTATAACTAATGTCGGACGCTCGCATCCACGTAGCCTTTACGCAAAGGTCGGAAGAGGTCGGCAGCCTGACATTAAATCGGAATGGATTCCCGTGACGATATATACGGTATATTGATGTGGCCACCACGCGGTATATTGATGTGGCCACCACGCGGTATATTGATGTGGCCACCACACGGTATATTGATGTGGCCACCACACGGTATATTGATGTGGCCACCACACGGTATATTGATGTGGCCACCACATGCAATATTTATGAAGCTATTATAAATATTTTAGAAGCTATTGTAAAATATATTAATTAAAGCAACTCAGAACAATTATATTTTAGCATTGCACCGAATATCAATGGACCCCTTGTTAAAAATAGTACCTCTCATATCAAGTATTAACGCTGCTTTAATGGAAGACAAAATTGAACTCTAAACCAAGTATTCCAAATATAGGGGTAAACATGGAAGAATCTCTCGGTGTCAAATATCTATTTGCCTTCTTTGTCTCAGAACCGCTGATGTATTCCAGATGCTTTTCTACGAATTTATTTGCTAAAGTCTTCGTTAAGAGTTATAATTTATGGATGTGGTGCTCCTTCATAGTGAATATGATAGTGACTGGCCGGCCGTTGGTCTCATTACAGTGAAAAAAAGCTTTTACTCGACCGAACTTCAATGACCAAAAAAGCCTTTACTTGACATATTTTGCGATACTGCGGCAATACTGAAACAGTGTAGTTATGCTGAAGCAATACTGCAGCAACACTGAAACAATCCTACAATAATACTAAAGCAACACCTCCCCCCCAGATGAAGGTCCCCGACGACGCCCCCCACTGCGACCCCCCCGACCAGGACGGCTCCCGAGCGCCGTCGGAGCGCTCCTTCTACACCGGTGGGTCTCTCCCCCTTCCTTTTATTTATATAATCTTAATTGATTAATATAATCTGAAGGCTATATTAAAATTTTGAATAAAAGCTTGTAGATCAATTCTTATACTTATATGATCTTCAGTTAATATTAAAAATTGGAACAAACGCTTCTATATCAATTCTTAATCTCGTATAATCTTCAGTTAACATTAAAGAATTAGAACAAAAGCTTGTATATAAATTCTTATACTCAAATAATCTGAAGTTAATGTAAAAAAAGAACAAAAAGCTTGTAGTACAAGAATTCAACTACTGCTTTTTAATTTAATTGTTCTCGTAATTTGAGGGAAATGAAGACGGCAGCAAATGTTGCTTGCATGGAGAGATAAATCATCGAGAGAGCATCAGAACAAATACTGTGATAATATGTTGAATTTTAAGTATCGTTATAATGTTAAAAATTCAGGGAATTACTTTAATTCAATTAACCTAAATACTATTATTTAGATTAACAATACGTATAGATTGGTTGTGAATGTGGAAGTGATAAGATTGGCGCGCGTTCAGGTAACTGTTGGTCATGAAAATCTTTTTATTCTCATTAATATTCAAGGAATTTACAGATATAATGAATATAAGATTAAATAATATTAATAGTTATGCGAATATATCTCAATTATTTATTATTTACTCATAACTACAAATGAAACGAATTTAAGTTTAAGGCAAATTGAAACAAATACGAGTATATCTCAATTATATATTATTTAGTCATAACATTTGTTGACAAGGCGATGGACTGAACACCTTGAGGAGACACAAGAACCCCAGCAATAGGGGACACGGCGCGCCCCCTCTTCCCTGCCACCCCCCGCCTGGGGTAAGTCAGACTACCCATCGCGTGAGTTACCCCAAATGACTTGGGATCGAGCAACCTTTAAAAAAATATTTCTGAATAATCTTTCACAGAAAGTTACCAAAAAAATGAATAAGCTCGTCTGTCATGGAACTACCCAACGGATTTGCATTTCTGTTTCTGATGAATAAAATTTATGTCTTCAATTGATTTTAGTTACAATATTTTTTTATATCGTGTCATATAAAAGAAAAATAATAAAATTTGTAGATGCGTGCGATTCCGGCTCCTCGCTATTATTACGTCGAACTTCATACAGAGTTACTTTTATTTATTTGCCCCAGCCATGTATTATAAAATCATGCATAGTTAAGAATTATATTTTTCTGTTGGATATGGGAGTTACAAGTTAATAATTGCACGTTACGAGAGGCTGCTTGCTCAATATGAAACATTCGGTAATAATATCTTGTACAATGAGTGAATTGTATTAAGATCTAACCTCATAGATATCTAACTAACGCCGAGTTTGTTAAGCCACGTCCACTCCCCACGTAAAAATTTAATCCCCCCACCCCTTCTCCCCAAGGTGCCGCCCCCCGAAGACCCCCCATCCCCCTGCTACTGCGCCTCCTCCGAGAGCCCCTACAGCGAAGCCCACTACACCGCCACCCACCGCCTCCCCCTCACCCCCCAACACCTCCACCATCTACAACACCTACAACTCCAACTCCAGCAACAACCGAGATGTGCAACACACGTCTACGCCTCCACCAACCCTCTCCCTCCCTTCCCCTCTGAAGCATCCCATATGAGGTGGGGGAGAAATTATTTATATTTCGATAATATTACAATAATATGCATTTAAAAAGTAATTTTTAAAGACAACACTTCTAAAGAATTCTGTGTCTACGATGTTACAAATGTAGAATGAATTTCTAATTTTATTATCAAATATTAAAAAAAGTAATTTAAGTCAGGAATCTATTCATGGCAGCAAATATGAATGATGATCAATATTTATGTAACTTGATTCTACGAAAAATTAATTTACCAACTGAATATTTTACCCGAAAATTTTGATGAAGTTTTTTAATTATGAATATAATTAAGAATTAATTACACATTATGAATTAATGTGTAACTATGATTTCTTTAAGAACTCCTGAGCTTTGCCGGACTTCTGCCGTCTATGAATCCGCGTCCCTACAATACTCACCCGCTGGCTATTATTTACCAACCGCCACGACAACCGCCGCCGGCTACTTCTTACCAACCGCCACAACCGCTGCAACCGGGTTTATCAAACCGTCTACGACGAGTTCCTCTAGCAAAGAGTCCATGCAAGGTGAATTATTAACAAATAAAAAACGTACAGTATTTTAATTTTTTCGAAAAGAGCCTCGGGAATCACCAGGCCTACGTGACCGGCATTTTTAATTACCAAATTGATTATTTCTGTTTAGTTTTCTCTGCCGACGACACTCTCATGCTGGTGGTAAGATACGAATAAAATAAACAGAATTCTACAGACTAATTAAGTGCTAAGTCAGCATTTTCACGTCAGCAGATGCAAGCGAAATCCTACAGCCTACGCTGCCGTGCCTGACGTACGAAGCTCTGCGGGCTCTCGGGCAAGACATAGCGGCGTTCAGGGCACGACAGCAACAACGCGGTAACTTGAAATCAAATTCTCATAGTTAATTCAGGTTTTCAGCACCTCAAAGGACAACCTATTTTGATTGACTTCTTATTTCTGCTTTATTTTTAATTATTGATGACTCAATGACAGATTTCCTGGTATTAATTTACTGTAATACTGCGATACTGTAATACAATTCAAATCCTGCATCTGATTATTTAGAAAAATTGAAAATATTAAAGGAAATTTTATATATTAAAGGTGGATGGTCCGTGTTGTATATTTCAAGTCCAGTTTAGATAAGAAAATACATTTGTAAACATGGAATTCTTTTCTCGTGAAGATGATGCCCTCGACGCTCTAACTAGCGCACAAGACAAGCGCAGCGCAACCAGTGCGCTGGAAGATGAGGTTGCCAACTTGAAGGATAAGTTGGCCAGAGATAGAAAATCTATGGACTCGTGTTCGTCCTTTGATACTACAACCGACCGACTACCTCAGCGCAACCATAAAAACCAATCCTACGATCACCACGACAATCATAACCTTCACAACCACCCTGACAGCAAACAGTCAAGCAACTCTACTACATCACCTCATCCAGCCTCTCCCTCCCCTCACACAACGTCAACCACTCCAGGAAAACTAACCCCGCTTGCGGGGACACTTGCACCTGGGGGTTCTTTGCCCCCTATGGGGATTGCTCCCCTGGGTGAGGGGGAGAGTGATAACCTCACTGCAGAAGAGGATGAGTGTTCAGGGTGTTCGTGTTCGTGCACGGATAACGAAGAGTCGTCCGTGTACGCCGAAGCCGACTTTGCAGACGACGTTCGGTCGACACTGCAGGACACGGCGACTGTAAGTCCCATGTTGTCGTACGTTTTCTTTCATGTTGTCGTACGATTTTTGTTAATTGGCCGCGCCTCTCTGTCTGTATCTTAATGTCATTTCATTTCGTCTGTGTTCTGTAACCAGATTTCTACAGATTATTAAAAAGTTTTACTATAAATCTGTCTATAATTTTTTTGCAATTTCTGCTCATGTTTTTTTTTTTTNCTGTACAATCTAATATTATCATATAGTGAAATAAAATATGATAATAATATTATACCTTCGTAAATTTTATTTTCTCTATTTTCTATTAAATCAAGTTGAAGTTTAGCTTCAAAATCAACGTTAATCTTATATGTTCCTTTCCCTTATTTCCTTGAATTTATTATCCGTGTTCAAACATCCGGTATGCATTATTGAAAACTAATGCTGCTTAAACCTCAATATTTCTGGATAATCAAATCGTTAAGCTAAGAGTTATTCCGCTCTCGATTGATCGCTTGCATGCTTCAGTGTCACTCTGATCCCTATATGGAAATTCTGATCATTATTGACAGTTGTTTTGGTATAAATCATTTAGCAACAAATGCTGATAGGTTACGAAAGTATGAGTATAATGTTTTTAACTTTCACGGTTTGTATAAAGATGATGAATGTTGTCACCCACAGCACAGCAGTAAAGGCAGCTCCATGAAGCGAAGGCATCGACATCGAACAACCTTCCTCTCCTCGCCCTCTCCAGGGAGTAAGTCATGAGTTCCTTCCCTTAATGTTGCTGGTTGCATGATTCATTTGTATTTGATAATTGCTGCATATCTAATAATCATTAGCCATAATGTCGCACTATCCTAAAAACATCTGCGTCTTGAGAGTTCATATATGAACCTTCGATTTTTTCGCTGCAATTTGCAATTTTCTGAAATTGTTCAATTGAAAGGTATGATTGGCGATAATGTTGAACTCGCTAATTTAAAATAAATGAAATTATGAGTATTCTATTCCCTTGATATTTCCTAAATAGCTAGGGTCTCTAAAAGAGAATGATTTTAAATATTGTTAGCATCAAACTGCTCTCTGCAACACGCCGATTGTTAGAGTAAGTTTTGATGTTGCTCGACCCACACTTCATTTGTGCGCTTTCTCGTCGCACTGCTTCGCAGTTCTTCTCTTATGCAGTTTTCCCCTAGGCAATATACTTTCACCCTGTTTTTTTTCAATGCCAATACCAGCCGCCCTACGGAGCCTTAGATGTGCAATAGTTCCAGGGTTTATTATTATTATTTTTTTTTTACTGACTACGATTACGAATTCAATGCTTTTTGTTCGCGAAGTCCACCTAATTCTCGGCTATCCCTCACTGGGCTGTCCAACACTCGGCACCTTTTAAAAACGCGTCTAGGCTCCGCCGCTGTATTCGCTAATTCTTGGACTATTAATTAGATAAAGCACTTAACAGGCAGTCGTAATCCGCTTACGACTCGAGCAGCCACGTCTTCATTTCAATAGCTTCTGCACAGCGGCAACGCATGCACCATTAAGCTGCGGTCATTGATGTTCTAGGTCGGATATGAATGGAGCGAAGAGTGAATACCCAGGCATCAAAGTTGTGCGGGGACCTCAATGAAGAGGCTAGGCATGGGATTATTCTTAGTGCAGATTAATGTGTAATCCTGAAACTTAGCTGTCAGAAGACACGCGCCAGAATCCTAAGAGTTTTAGCGGTCCCAGAGGCATTGTTCCCGAGCACACAGCTAGCGGTGTCTGACTTCGGGTCTCAGTTGTGGGGTGAATTTGTGTAGGAAGAATTCCTTTGCACTTCTATATTTCTCTTCGACTGATGACCGATGTCTCGTGTGATCAACCCTCTTGCTGGTGTATCTTGGTTTCTGTTGCATTGTTGTCTGTTCCTTTTTCTTTCTTCGTCTCTTTGATATGCTACCTGTGCTCCTAGATCGCCAGGTGCTGCTAGCCTTTTTTTCAGTTAAGTAATTATTAAATGTTTAATTTAGTATACTATTAAATGTTTAATTTAGTAGGTATATACTTTATGATGGTTGAAACCTTTTGCGGTATCGGAGAAGGTTAATTCGTATTTTTGGTGCGAGATGGCTTTTTGTGTAGCGCCTGGTAAACTTTGTGTTCACTCTGCTACACATCACACAGGTTATTAGTTTATAAATTTAATTTTATCATCCTTTACTTCACTGCCACATTTTATTGTCTCGTCTCTCAAATCACAGTCATCTTCCTAAGTTTCCCATCATGTCTCTCCCTCACTCATTTCCTCCTCAAAAGTTCCCTCATGTCTCACCCCCCCCCCCCTCAGTTCACCGTCGTTCTATCAGTGAGGACAAACACGCTCACAGTTCACGAGGCCGTTAAATCAGCTTTGTCAACATTCACCCTCGAGTGTGATTGCTGATCTTTAATTTCTAATGTACAATCCAGTCTGTGTTTATCTGTCAGAGAAAGTCACAATATCTTTTGTACTTCCCTTTTTTATAGAGAAGCTGAACTGCAAGTGGTCACTTTTCGATTTGAGTTATTCGGAATTTGAATTTTGACTGCAGATTTATTTATAACGGATGCAACTTTTGACTAAAACTTTATTGGTTTTGAATGCATGGGTCCTACTTTTAGTTAAGTACTCAAGTACTCCATAAGGTTTAGATATGTACTCATACTAATTCGTAATGATTTTCATACTTAATATATAACTTCTTCTATTTCTTTATTGATCTCTATGGCGTTAAATTTAAAATTTACTAAGCTAAGAGCACGAACAAAAATTGCGAACGTGAACAAGCCTACTGTGCTTTATTCCTATTGTTGTAATATTTACGTATATTACGTTGTAATATTTACGTATATTTACCTGTTCTTCAAACAGGTATAAAATTTTATTTTATTTTATACCTGTTCTTATCATCCGCAGGCTGTCCCGCCCCGCACCCTGCCGCTGAAGCTGCGCATCTCTCGACCGCCTGAGCCGCGACAGCGCTGGGATCCCGATGCAAATTATAAGTCCGTTTGTAAGTTATTTGCAAGAAAAATGACGAGTTAACGAGCAAAATCCGTAAACATGCGTGAATTTGCGTGCAACTATAAAAGATGAATTTGTTCACGTGAGTTAGTGTAGTAGTTGATGTTTTTAATAAATGATTTAATAAAAAAATTGGGAGTTCGGTGGGTGCAATGGATTCAATTGTGCTAAAAAGATTATTATCTCTTACGAGCCTTTAAATTATCATACTACGAGTTCGGCTGTAGGAAGAAAGGCTCTGTTTTATGTAATGAAAAATTAATTTAGTAAGGAAAATTAAGACATCATAGATGATGGTGTAAGTTCCTTCAAAATAAATGCAATAATTTCCCATCGAATCGAATCGGAAGGCAGATATCTTTTCAATTGCCATTCATTCTTTCATCATCTTATTTATTTGTACCGAAAGAATGTAAAACGAACATAAACTTAACTTCAAATTTAGAAGACTAAAATTTTTATTTTATATGAACGTTTTCAGGAGCGGTCTAATTGATTTCAAGCTCCTGTTTCTGTATTCTTCACGAAATCAACATTCGTGATTTACTAGAAACTTGAGGTGAAGAAATCGGAGCACAGGACGATGCAGGAGTAACTCACTGTCTATTAAACTGATAAGCTTTAGTTAACACATGGCAAGTCGCAACGGTTGACTAATAAAAGCTGCCGTTACTCGTTCCAAGCTCAATGAACTCCGATTTCTTGTAACCTTCCGAATTTATCGGTCTTGTCACGTTCTCTTCGGTTATCAAGTTGCCAAGTTGTTAGTTGTTTTTATTGTTTTGTTATCTAAAAACAACAATAACTTGTTTTTAATGGTTACCTAATATTATTTTAAATATTGACAATGTTTGTGGTAATATCATACTTTATTTTCATCAAGGCCGTTTGTGTGAGTGCACCTCACATCGAAAATTAAGCTAACCTCTCATTTGTTATTTTATTGCGTCCAAGGCCTTTTACTTGAAAATTATTTACTTAAGAAGATAAGATAAAATCCCTGGGATTTATTGTCATAGGGTACGCACACAGTGGAAGCAGGTTTGCCCGCGCGGGCAACCTGCTTCCAACCTGCCACAAGAATGAACATAGGATAATAATTTAAGTGTTCACAGTGAAAACCTGTACGAATAGGCTTCTGTATTCTATGGTTTCAGGCGCCAGCCTGAGCAGGTAACCAGCACGCTGGCAACCTGCTTTCACTGTGTGCGTACCCTGAGACCGGAATTCCTATTTCCCGGAAGACTTCTATGTTATTTATTTTGTGTTTTCTAGTTTGATAAATGTATAGTACAAGTGTAATATTTTGTACATTGGCCGTACAAATGATAAACTGTTAATTAGTGCTCTAAGTTTAGCTAGGATCCATGTAAAATTATGTCTTTAGCCTTGCAATATAGAATATGTTACATTCGAATAACTAAATTAAATAATCAGTAATAAATGAAACAGCTCAGTGCAATGTACCATAATGGTTGATTTCAGAACATAAGAAACAAAGGTCCATGTATATAATCTATCTACAATAAGGATGAATTGCCATTTCCAGTGGAAATCGGCCTTTTTCTCGTGTACTGGGATTTCCCCCGACGAATGTCCCGCTTATTTCCTACAAAAGAATGCGCGTTTTGAATACCTTACTTGTTTGTATTAGCTTTAAAAGTTTACTCGGCATTTAAATTTTTAGCCTGTCTTTTCTTTTTCATTGCTATGAGAATCGATTTGACTGTTGGAGTAAACTAATGAATGATAGAGTAATCCCTCGCAAATAATTTGAAATGTTTTATTCTGTTACAGCAGAGGTAAACTGTTGCAATATTGGTACATCGACTTGGTGCAATTTAGCGGTAGATATTTTTACTACAAATATAAGCGCAAGAAATTAATATATCTATTCAATTGTTGCATTATGCAGTCTTTTTACTGTTTCATAAATGTATTTGTTCTTAACTACCTGTTAGAATATGTAACGTCCTCTTGCTGGTCCATAATCGTTCAAACGTTCCAATACGATTTGTACAATTGTCTCGGTATCGCGGTCCGATTGTTTATTGATTGTTTTCTTCTGTTATTTTTTTGTTAAAAAATTTATATTTATCCAGGATGGAACTTATTTCCTAGAAAATCTGAACTGTGGGACAAATGCTGAGGTGAACAAAAGTTATCGTATAGCTGGTTTCTTCGTCCAAATCACAAAACATATGCAGAGAAACTCTTGCGGTAACATAGTGGACTTGTTCCTGTCTCAGACTGAATTCAAACCTTTATTTCCTTGGATAAATTGAGACTACTCCGTTATGTTATTTCTACCTAAGCTATTAAGTTAACTGGAAAACAAGCTGCTTATTTTTAACATGTTTTGTACCGATGCAATTTTTAAACAAAGTTTCTGAACTCGGTAGTAAATTAGGTCTATTATTATCAACTTGACGTTTTGGGAAGTGAGCGTCTAACGTGTACTATAACTGCGTATAGTTAATTAAGATGGTAAGTGTGCATATACATAATTCAGTAGGTAAAGATAACTAATTGCTAGTAAGCCAGAGCTGCAAGCTGAGGCTTCTCTTACACGGTATGCTACCTTCACTACTGTACACCTGCAATGTTATCGCATATATAATCGGTTACAGATTATCCTTATCACAATTACAATTTTGCATTCCATCATTGCATTCCAATTATTTAATTTAATATAAAGATATTTTGACTGCATCAAACAAATCTTTTTCACGAAAATAATTGTGTTGATTGCAGTTCTATGAAGGTTGTCGTTGCGTGTAATGGTGAGCCCTAGCGCGCCTCTAAACCAGCCAATACATATCAAGCTACCATATCATGTAATGTGTAGACCTAAGCTTATAAGCCTAGACTCTTCTATTTACTTCAGTTGCCGTGTTATTCCGTCTGCCTCACCGACCAAGGGAATTGTTTCAAAATATTATTGTTATTATTATGTTTGAATTGGAGCAAAAGTTGGTTGTGGACTTACGGTCAATACAAGTGGAGATTGCATCTGCTGTGCTGCCGTTACTACAAGAATTGTAGATCAATTTAGAACTGAATATTTGAAACGAATTTTAAACGTCATATTAGCGGTCCCAGATGGGTTGAGGGCAATGTTTTCCTTTCAGACTCTTGGAAGAATTTCCAATAGAATCGAGTTTACCAAAACTTAATATATCGGTTTTAATAAAAAAAATAATTTAACTTTCTAATTCCAGATCTTAATTGCTGTACGGTGGGTCTTTAACTGAGTATGACTTGGTTGTATGACATGACATGGTTGGCCTTATGGTTATAAACTGAAATTTTCCTAACCTACAACCCCATTACAATTAAGGATTCTTATTCGACAAGTTGGGAAAGTTATTCCGGGCACTTGTTTACCGGGAAACAATCATCACTTGCTACATATTTTCTCTGTGTTAATCGTGGTAGGGTCAAATATTTTGGTAATGTATAGAAATGTTCTGAGAAGTTCAGTCCAAATAGCTTACGACTTTTGACAAGCCTTTGCTTGTGGCAGATAACCTACTTCTCGACCGGTTGAGTAGATCACAGACGGGATTTGTCTGTTTTGTCCATACAGAATTATTTTCATATCCTAATAAATACATGTTTTCTCACTTTCCCTCGTTAAATGTTTAGAACCTGAGCTTCGAACAGGATGACCGGAGGTCGGCGACCGTACGTACGTAGGCCGAAGGTCGACGATCATGTAGAAGAGTTCGCAGAATATAGAGTACGGCTTAAGTTCTGCCTCCGCGTGTCCATGTAACTACTACTTTTGTATTGTAATGGCGACCGACTTTTGAATAAAATGTTGTATTTTTAAACTGGTGTTTCATTACATGCATTACAGTGAACCATTGAAAATCTGCTTTCGTCAATAACGGTAAGTCGGGCGACCGTCATCTGAACCAATTACCTATGTGAAAAATATTTTTTTGAGCCAGGTTCATAGATAATTCGACACAATTAATTTTTCCTTTTTCGAATTTTAAGGTGTCTATGAATAGTAAAAAATTCAAGGTTTGAAGCTTGAATAATATTACATAAAGCACTCTATAACTTAACAATATTTCTAGTAATAATGCGTGATAATTAGCGCAACGATTATGCATCAACAGTGGAAAGTAAGACCGAGTCTCCCACCGAATCATTGGCTAAAATGACTTGCTAGACGCTATAAATGGATGAATTTACTAGCTCGTCGAGCTTGTCCTGACGAACGTGGCACGGTTCTGACATAAGACTGGCTGACGCTATTCATAAAACATATTGAATATTAAGGGACGGATCTATAGTTGTTACCGTAAAGCGTCTCTAGTCCGTTGAAATTTCTAAAATTTCAGTCAATATTCATATTATAGCAATGTTGTTATAGAGATCGCAATTTTATTTCGATCACCAGGTATAAACGTTCATTTTTACAGCAAAAAAATATACTAAGAATTGAGTTGCTAAGCTTGCCAGCATTTCGGTACAGGCAGCTGGGGTGTGTACTCAGATCAGCCTTCGTCAGCAAACAAATTAAAATTGTACTCTCATTAACCATCTGAATAACTCGTACCTTCTTCTGTCATTATGTTCGTATTAATGAAGTTTGTTATTGAATTGTGCATTCAACCAAATTAATCATAACGGGCTTCCAATCCTTCATGACAAGTCCAAGGCCTGCATAAGCGCGGTAATAAAGGCCAAACTATGCTATGAACATTCAACAAATTTTGAACAAATCATCTTAGTACAACGTAAAGTCGTGTCAACACCTGAGTACTGTTTCATCATCTCCCGGAGGAGGTTGTGCTGTTCGTTTAGTAGTTGTCTCCTTATCAAAGTTACCCTTCAAATTCCCTTCAGTGTTTGCTTCCCCTTCGAAAAGTAAATAGTCAGGATGCTACTTATTACCACCGAACACGAAAGCTGCCCAGGACCTCATAAGGTACGTTCATTTCACAGGCTGCATGACATTTACTATGAGCTTGGCACCGGTGATTGGATAGACAGATTATTGAAGTCACTAGAATGGCTGATAGATTTCGCATCATCGTAGAACTCGAGACCGGGAAATTTTAATCCATGTTTTTCTGCCATCAGGTAATCCGTGAATGCATATCGTCGAATATTTTGCCAATTTATAATGATACAGCTCATTTTTCTAAACATACTTCTAAATTTAGGTATGTTAAATGCATATAAGAATGACGAAAATAAGTGAATGCTACGTTCAACTTTAAATCCGGTTCTGAAAAATTTATTCCTACATATACTTGACTCAGAAGCGTTTCAACATTTCTTCGGTATCAAATGCAAGTTTTGACTCCGTATTCTAACTCAACAGATTTGACGGTGTCAAGTCACATTTTAGGTATTTCATTATGCTGTAAATGAACATTACAAAGATTCCCGAAAGAACAAATGGGGTTCAGCCGCCCCAGTCTGAAGCGGAAATTTTTTTATTAGAATGTGCTTCAATAACAATTTTTGGATGCTGTGAGATTGTTATCTCAAGGTTCAATAAACAAAAGATCTTTGCAAGTCTAATTATCCTAACTATTAAGCAGAGTGGCGCATAAGAGATATCCGAGAGCAATAATGAGAGTAGCGACGTAATGAGAGGAGTCGCGAGAGGAGAAGGACTCCGCTGTGCCCTAGAGGACGGACAACAATACGTACAATTAACACCAATGAATAAATAATCTGACTATATTACCACGATATAACCATCACAAATAACAAATATAGAAAACAATAGTTAACCTCGTCCAACTCATACCTTAAAGTCGTGCTCTGCAGCCTAAGTAGCTCAGACCTCCTCGCAGGGACATACAGGACGAAGTGCTTCTAATGCTATGACTAGGCTCAAAGAAAGCTTGCATGCCTGTCAGTAGTCCGGAATGGGCTTACAATACTACAGATGCTATATGTTATGTACAGTAATATTAGATGTGTCAAAAGTTTTACAGCATTTGAACTATGAAGGACCACCAAGCTGAAGAAATACTTTAAAAATTACTTTTGATATTATTTCATGAGCTATAGCAAGGGATA